ACATTCCACGTTCCTCTCTGAAAATCTGCGTTGAAATTTTATGACACTTTCTTGAATAATTTGAAACTAATTAAAATCTCTTCAATGAATTGTTTGCCGTTTGAATTCTTGAAGTGAACGAGGTCGAGTCCACCCACCTCCAAAGTTGCTGCGGCTGTTTCATTGTCGAGGTCGCAGCCTTCCGTAGAAGCTTCGCTGGCGCGCCCGGCAGTTGCGCCGCCGCGGGCCCGTGGCTGCGCGCAGGTCGTCGCCCCACAAGCGCGGCGGCCGACGCGAGCCCTCCTCTTCCTGCCCTCGCAGTCTTCCTCTTCTTTCCTCTTCCTCTACCTCTTCCTCTTCACTCCTTCTTTCGTCGTCTTGACGCGCAGGACGCCCACGCGAGCGGCTCGTGCTTCACGCCACGTTGGTGCCGACCGGCCGCTGCGGAGCTCTTCCTGTCGGCAAAAGAGAAGCTGTCACACGGGCTGGGCCATTTCTTATTCCTACTTTAGGAGACTAAGCTATGCAAGATTAAAAGATATATTAAAAGGAATTGACACATGTGCGCTCGAGTTTTAAATTGCACGACGAACAAAACGTCCCCATATATACACGTCTTTCGATCAGTACAATAAAATGCTTATTAAAATTAGCTTTCTTTATATCTATTATAAGAATAGTTACCGATTAGTTACTGAACTGACCTTTTGAATGTACTATTAATTACACGAATGAGTTACATAGCCCCAGTGGCACAAAACGTACATTGTTTTCCCAGATCATGGTAGAAAATTTTCCTCTTATAAATTTGCTATATTTGGACTTAATGCTCGAAGCCAAAAGTAAGTTTAACCCTTATTGACATTTACTTGGAGGTTTTATTCACAACGAATCACTAAACCAGTGGGGCACAGCGAAAGTTTAATTGGGTGTTTTTACAGGTTCGGAACATTACCCGTGTAGTTTGTTGATAATGAAAACCGATTTTTTAACAACCCCCAACATTGCCTGAAAATTTTTTTATTCTCGGAAAAAGTATTCGTTTCACTATGTTTACCTCTAAAATATGGACAAAAACTTTTACTAAGTCTTTACAGCGATATGAAATTGTAAGGGGTAAAATCTTTATGTCATTTTTTCACGACTGATTTAAAGGAATCTGGTTCATTAATCCTGCAATCCGAAGTTTCTGAAAACCGTCAATTGCTTTTAATTTTCTTTCCAAAAATTACGCTTCCGGAAAACTTAAAATCTTGTGAAGCAGTATCAGAAATTGATTTTGCTACGTACGATGTAGTAATTATTGATAATTTTTTTTGTTTTATAAACTTATTATTTTTTATATTTTTCCAAAATAAAAACTTAGAAAGCATCCTTACTTTAATCATTTCATTTACACTCGGGTTCACATTCATATTTTAATTCACTTGCAAAGCTAGCAGTCTAAATTCTCCGGATAATAACCAGTGAAAAGCTACGGGCAGGGAATCCAGCTACGGGGGCAGCGGATCCAGCTACGGGGCAGAAAGAATTTTCCAGCTACGGGGCAGGATCCAAGCTACGGGGCAGGGATCCAGCTTGGGTTCCGCTGAACACCTACTCGGGGCGACGCCGGTGGCGGGCAGCGGCCGCGGCTTTGCGGGGCGGCCACGGCGGCGCGCAGCTGGGCGGCGGGCGGCGTGGCAGGATTTGCGTTCGCCGCAGGCGGGCCGGGCCGCCCCCTTCTCCCATTTGGCTTGGGCCGCCTCCTTGAAGCCGGCCAAGCCCCTGGCGCGGCACGCCTCGTGCCAGCGCCGCCGGGGCGCGGCAGCGCCGGCAGGCGCCACGCGCTGGTCAAGGGGGCCAGGCGGGGACGACAGGGCGTTCCGCCGCCTCGCCCACCCGCGCCGCCGGGGCAACGGCCGTTCCAGCGCGTTTCGTCGGACAGCACGGCCAGCAGCCCACGCCCAGCGAGGCCAAAGAGTGCCCGCCGGTTCCAGGGTTGTCAGGCGCTCTGCGACCCAACGAGACATGCGCCCTTATAGCAAAGCTGGCAGACCAACGCTTTCTTCTGCTTTTTGTACTTTGTGCACGCGTTCCTAACAAAGCCAGAAGAAATAATTGGTACTACTTTGGGGGAGCGGATTTAGGAGACCCAAACAGGACACATCCTTCCTGGAATCCTTTTGTTCAGATGAAGCCAGATTGCAAACGTTTGGTTTGGACTGTTCTTTACTAGGAAATCCGTCTTGAGTTATCCTTAAATTGATTGACCCGACAATAACGCAGGCATACCAGGTGTTTCGTATATCTCAGGAACCTTTCATATCATACTTACAATGGCTGACGTTGCAATTTCTGAACGACGAAATGTATTAGACTAATAAATAATTCTGTGGAGAATGTGTTGTATCTCGTATTATTAATTGTAACAAGTGTCATTAAAATGATCAAAACCAATTAAAACAAAAATGCTTAATTTGCGGAAAAGGGGAAAAACCTAGTCGAAATCTATGAAAAAATGCAAAAAATGCGAGATGTGCCATTCAAAGGTGGGTCCTTTGATTTTGAAATATAAAATCAACGTCTACTAAAAGGCATGGTCTTAAAAGCGAAAAGAAAAAAACGGCCTTTATTAAAATTCGCCCCTTTCTATGTCTGGAGAGATTCCCCGCCAGAGGACTTGCGGCGCCGACCTAGACATAACTTAAGCGGGATTCCTCGTGGTATCACCGCTAGTGAGCTCCGACACCTGAGTATGCTAAACTTCCGACTGGTCTCCCGTCACTTAAATTTAGTGCGTGTAAGGCGAGACGAATGGAGGAGGAAATAAGATCGCGCGCGGCACGTGACTCGTTTAAAGGTCCTACTTCGACATTAGCCTGGTATAAGAGAAACTAGAAAACTACAGATAAGAGCATCTGACCGCTAGACTTATCCTTCAGAAAGCAGATGAATGCACCTGTGCTATCGTCTAGTACCCAAAATTCACCTCCGACAGGAGTAACCCTGACTTCCTGGTCGGAGTCGTTGCAGAGAAAGAGGTAATGCTTAGTTGAACTCTGCTAGTCTACACTCTAGGGGGGCGGCAGTATAAAGGTCGAAACTTTGCAACTTTTATTAAGACGTAGTATCCCATACGCTACTAGTTCTACTATTTATGCGCACATTGCGGATACTGATTTGCTTTTTATCCATTTAATTACCGCCTGCAAAGACCCGTAGTGTGGGATTCTTAACATTCGCAACCTTTCACAACCTTGCTGAATATGTGGCTTTTCCACAATAGAGGGAACAAAATCAAAAGCATTTTTGAAGATTCTTTTACATTCCATGTTCCTATGCAATATGCAGAAATAGCAGAAATGCTAGCTATGCAGAAATTAGATGTTGAAATTTTATGGCACTTAAATAATTTTGAAACTAAATTCAATTCTACAATGAATGTTGCCGTTTGAATTTTGAGTGAACGAGTCGAGTCCACCCACCTCCAAGTTGTCTGCGGCTGTTTCATTGTCGAGGTCCGCAGCCTCCGTAGAAGCTTCGCTGGCGCGCCCGGCAGTTGCGCCGCCGCGCCGCGTGGCTGCGCGCAGGTCGTCGCCCACAGCGCGGCGCCGACGCCGAGCCTCCTCTTCCTGCTCCTCGAGCTCTTCCTCCTCTTCTTCCTCTTCCTCCTCTTCTTCCTCTTCTTCGTCGTCGTCGACGCGCAGGACGCCCACGCGAGGCGGCTCGTGCTTCACGGCCACGTTGGTGCCGACGCCGCTGCGGAGTCCTGTCGGCAAAAGAAGGGGTCACACGGGGCTGGGCCATTTCTTATTTCTACTTAGGAGACTAAGCTATGCAAGATTAAAAATATCTTGAAAAGAATTGACAGATGTGCGCTCAAGTTTAAATTGCACGACCAATAAATGTCCCATATATCCAGGTCTTTCGATCATTACAATACATGTTATAAATTGCTACTTTATATCTATATAAGAATAGTATCGATTACACTGAACTGACCTTTTGAATGTACTATTAATTACACGAATGAGTACATAGAAGTGCACAAACGTACATTGTTTTCCCAGATCGTGTAGAAATTTTTCTCCTATAATTTGCTATATTTGGACTTAATGCTCTAAGCAAAGTAAGTTAACCCTATTGAAAACTTACTGGCGTTTTATTCACAACGAATCACTAAACCAGGTGGCACAACGAAAGTTAATGGGTGTTTTTACAGGTCGGAACATTACCGTGTAGTTAGTGATAATTGAAAACGATTCAACAACGCCCCACATGCCTGAAGATTTCTTTCTCGGAAAAAGTATTCGTCACTATTTTACCTCCAAAATGACAAACTTTACCAAGTCTTTACAGCGATATGAAATTGTTAAGGTAAAATCTTATGTTATTTTCACGACTGATTTAAGGGATCTGGTCATTAATCCTGATCGAAGTTTCTGAAACCGTCAATGCTTAATTTTTCTTTCCAAAATTACCTTCCGGAAACTTAAATCTTTGTGAAGCAGTATCAGAAATTGATGCTACGTACGATGTAGGTAATTATATAATTTTTGTTTATAACTTATATTTTTATATTTTCCAAAATAAAACTTAGAAAGCATCCTTACTTAAATCATTCATTACACTTCCGCAGATAACGTTCACATTCATATTTTATCACTTGCAAAGCTAGCAGGTCTAAATTCGTCCGATTAAATGAAAAGCTGAGGAATACTAGGCAGGATCTGAGCTACGGGGCAGGGAATTCCAGCTAGGCGGGGCCAGGATCCAGCTACGGGGGGCAGGGGACCAGGGGGACTTCCGCTGACCACCTACTCGGGACGACGCCGGGGTGGCGGGCAGCGGCGCGCGGCCTTGCGGGGGCCACGGCAGCGCGCAGCTGGCGCGCGGGCGCGGGGGTGGGAAGGATGGTAAGCCGGGGGGACGCGCCAGGCGGCCGGGCCGACGCGGGCGGTCTCCATGCTGGCCGCCGATTCCTGGGCTCGACAGCCCCTGCGCGCACGCCTCGTGCAGCGCCGCCGGGCGGGGCAGCGCCGGCAGGCGCACGGCGTGGTCGAACGGCCAGGCGGACGATAGGGCGTCCGCCGCCTCCGCCCACGCGCCGCCGGGCACGGTGTCCAGCGTCGACGTCGACAGCACGGCCAGCAGCCCGCCTAGCGAGCCCAGAGTGCCCGCCGTCCAGGTGTCAGGCGCTCTGCGACACGAGACATGCTTTTATAGCAATCTGCAGACCAACGCTTTCTTATGCTTTTTGTACTTTGTGCACGCGTTCCTCACAATCCCAGAAGTATTGGTAATCATTTGCGGAGCGGATTTTAGGAGATCCAAACAGGACACCCTCCCCGAAAAAAAAATTAACTACGCCGGGGTGGAGATTAATTTTTTTTAATTCGTTGCGTTTGAACTGTTAACACTAAGCCCCGGGGGGCGTTGAGCGCTTCGCGATTTGAGTAATCCTCCTTTAACAATCACGCTATATTTGTAGGAGTAATTTTCCATTAACATGGTATTTAATGTTACGTCCCGTCCCAGTCAGTTTTCGAGAGGACCGCCAGTTACCATCTCCGCGTACGCGTCTCCAACTACGCGTTCCTGCGTCACTACCCAGCGGCCAGAATTGGGAAGGAATTAGGATAGAGGTAGGTTTAGGACACTTCGCAGGGGTTGGACTAGCCCCTGTGAAGCATGCATACTTTGTAGTAAAAAAAATTTCACACGAGGTTCTACGTGGATTCTGTGGGAATCTAACCATATTTAATACAATTTATCGTCAAATTTTAACATTATTTAGAACAGACCTTTCAAGAAGTGCGGGTGGATCTGACCTTTTTAAATTAGAAATACACCACTGATTTCAAAGCAATAGTAGTCACGATCTAGAATATGAGCCGGGGGGGTCATTTTAGCTAATTGCTCTTATAACTGAGGAACCGAGACGACCAACTCATCGAACTCATTAGGCCCGATGTATAGATCGTTATGATGGTCACCTTGCTGGGTAGAAAATTACGTAAAAATCTTGTTCCCCATGGTAAATATCTTCCTTTTTAACCTGAAAGATCTGTTAGGTATCCATCCTGTGCGCGGTTGACTTTAGAAAAAAAGGTCCGTCGTTTTACATTAGAATTGCAGGGTCTTCGCGAATGATAATTCTACCATTGCTCGTTTGGAGCTCTGTTTACCGGTCATATTTTGCCGTTCGTTGGGCAAAAATCAGTACTTCTTAATTTCTGAGAAAGCTTTGAAAATCTAAGAGAATATATATAATTGATATTTGTTATGGAGTGCACATTAAAAAAATTGTTACTAAATTTATTTCAGTAGTAATGCGTTTGCTTTTGAAATTTCAGTTCAAATGTTTAAGCTTCTTATCTAGAGTTATGAAGAAAGGAATATAATTTCCAACCCCACAATAATTGAAAATTTCTAAATGTTAATTCTACATGAATGCATCAAGAACACTTTGCCAATACTTAGGTTTTCGGTTTTTAATCTCTAGGAATTAGTACCCGGAAGAACCAGCGCAGTGATCAGCAGCCTTCTCGTCATTTCCAAGGCACGCGAAAGTCATTCGAGAGTTAACACCAGGGTTAAAGACACCTCTAAACCATTGATTAAGTGACTAACGACTTTACACGGATGTAATGAATGACGTTTAGAAGAGTTTTAGCGACTGCAATAAAGCGTTATGCATAACAAAACCATTTGAAACGTCGATTCATAATAGATCTAAGAGTGGCGATTCAAAATATATATCTAGGCGAGACATTTTAATTTCGATACGAGTAAGCATAACAGACCTACATTGTGCACGGAGTTTTAGATTTTTAACCCTCCGCTATTAGAATGAAGTCCGGAAATTTGAATCTGCGTTTATTACGAGCATAAGACATAACAAAGGTCATTTTACCGCAAATATTACCCGTTACCTTTCCAACATTTTACGTTTATTCTTGCCCGAGTTGCGGGGTTGGTAAGGAAAAAAGGTTACTGCCTCACAGGAGAATGTTTACTACAGTCGGTAAAGTGCAACGTTTCCTGCTTTTAGGCGGCCATTTTCCCCGTTTGTAAGGTGACCATATATAGTTTCAGGCGGGATCTATCTATTAAAGTATAAGGTCTTACTTTAGGCCTAAGGCAAGACGTCATGTCTTCGAAGTTCGACACGTGACTGCATATCGTCTACCGTACGCATGGCGCTAAAACTCCGTTTCGCGGACGCTAGTGTGCCGATTGGTGGATCAATTGTTTCCATTTATGAACATTCTCCCAAAATCGATTAAGTTGCAAACTCTCGTAAATGGATAAGTGAAAAGTGGACATGCACCATTTAAAGGTACATTGTGATAAAAATAAACTTTTTTTGCACTTTTAAAAGTTGTCTTCGGTAATTGACCGCACTAAGCCGAAGCTGGCCGGCTTTGACAGATAGGTTGCAAAACTCACAACAAAATTAAGAAACTTACAAGAGATGGATAAGCATTCAATATACTTTTATGTTCTTAATATTTAGTATATTAAAAACTAGTTAATAAGGGAAGTGATAACCTTCAGGTCCCCTGTCTTATTTGAAGAAAGTCAATTTTGTTGAAAAGACACTTCAAGTACTTTAAACTAAAGTCCTTATCGCCACGTGAGTATATTGTACACAAATGAATTAAAATCTCTTTCAGATCTCGAGTCCTTAATTGTGCGTGTGATCAAAAAACTTAAGTACATTTTCTTCTTAACGTCTGGTAATCTGATTTATTAACTCCCTAATGTTTTCTAGTGGTTAGCCGTTACATTAAATTTTGTTTAATTTTATTTCGTTTTTTCTAATTGTTTTTCTAATTTTATTCTTTAACAAGAAAATACTGTGGGAACACTAAAACACGAGCCGTTATGCAACAGCGTTAATATGTAACCTATTTTACATCTACGATTTATGAGATCGTGCCTTTCTCAATTTCTAACACCTCACGGAGAATTTATGTCCAATATTCACAAATCGTAATAAAGCCACGTACGAGAGGAAAATAACTATATACATCGCGTAGTTCATAAAGTGATATGGGAGGCAATTTACTTTAATGGATTAAGAAACAGCGAAGAATATTCGATGCCAAGTTTTCTTCTGATTCACTAATAACTGCCCAATTAACGTTTGAACAACGACATGAGCGGAAATAATTTCGTATGAGAAGGTCCCCGTTTCCCAGACTGAAAAATTTTAAATACGTAGAAAACAGTGTAGCTTTCCATTACGTCCTTCGGAGTTTCAGCATTTTTGAAATTAATTAGTCACGTTGAGTCACACCACAACACCCTCAAGGTGATTGGCAGAAAATCTTGATGCATCAAAACAGCAAATTTTATTGCGCAGGAGTATAAATGTAACTGCTTACGTACGACAAATGCATAATTCTAAACTTGTTCGATTAATTGGCACATTAGTCACACTGTTTGGAAAATAGTTAAGAAAGAAGAACATCGACATCGTGAATAGCCACACGTCACAGAAGGCAATAAGCGAGGAGACATTTCGGTAATTCATGGAATGCGAAGCATTCTGAGATAGTCTAGTGATGGGACATCGACGTTCAAAATTCAAAACGTATAAACACGTTTTCTGTCGATGTGTTGTTAACATACATCTTATGTTGTAAAGTTAGTTTAGTAACCCCTAGCAGTGAATTTCTGTGGAAAAATAATTTGACAATGAGCATTAATTTATAATTTAAACCAAGGTAAAAGAATTACAGAAATGGACAATACCGAGTCTGAAAGTAACCTCAAAGGGCCAGTCATTTCGCAGTAGAAGGGTATCGGAAGAACGGGAAAGTTGCTTACCCACCGCACATACGTGGACTACTTTTCAATGTGTGAAGTAGGAGAGACCTAGGAAATACTAGGGAAACTGGAGAATCTCGAGCGAGAGGATGTGCTCGAAGGCAGCAGAAGATGCGTTCGTTTGGTTTCAAAACAAAAGAGGGTACTGTTCGTTATTGGCATTTTTTAATATTCACAAATTAAAATCTTCCCATTGACAAAACTTAACGAAAACAAATAGTACAAAACGTTAAAAAATCTGATTTGACAATTATTAAAATAGCGTTATATGAACATTTAGAAAATTTTGTCATTGATGTTATTTCCCAAACACGTGCAATACATGTGATTTGTGTAATAGAAATGTACGACTGATAAGGGAACTGAACTGTATATCTCGTTAGCAAACTTTTCGCCAGTAGGCAGACTCCTGGTTACCACATCTGCGGTTCCTCACCGTCTCTTACTTCGCACACCTTAGTCCCCTCCGCACCGTCTCCGTCGAAAAGCTTTTTCGGCCACCCATTTTGAAGAATGGATTATAATCCGGCTAATTCACAAATTAAGGAAATTCGAGCACTACACATAATACGGATACCTTAAGACTGCAGTCTTTTGAACTCCGGGGCAAACTTTTGCAACATACTGAAAATTATTTCCATTGACTTTTTAGATATATTAATGTCTAATCTTTGTGTTGTACACTTCAGTTTTGTAGGTTTTTTCGAAAATAATTTCATGTTTACGCGGTTGGTGTTAGAAATGACCTTTGACGTAGAAATGATATTTGACGAATTTACCAAAATAAAAAAAATGTTTTAATTTCCTTTTGTAGCATGTTGCGGTTTGTGAGTGATCATAGGGGGTATTTGTCTATTAAGATTTGACAGCCCTGTTTCAAACCTTCACGCTGGTAAGAGACGTATTGTTATGATAAGTTGTTAATTGTTTTTATGGAAAACTTTATTTAGTGCGATGTTGTAAATAAAGCAAATGTTACTTTCCCAATTAATAATCCCAAATAACATCCGTGCATCAAATTCATATAAACTATTGTGTAAAACGTTTGGGGGTCACAAAGGACCCCCAAACAATACACGTAACTATTGGAGAAATATTCGAAGGTTTAAACAAAATTGTTAACTTTCAAGGAGTTTATTTTATGGCCATGAATATTCCCCTAAATAAGAATAATAAACCTGTTATAAAACTCCGCGTCTTTATAAACACCTGGCTCGTGAATTAGCAAGGGGTTGGCTCATCCTAGCAGAGGCCACTCACCCGAATGCGTGGGGGATGATGGCGGACCAGACCGACTGCGCGTTGGAGTCTTCGCAGACCGCGCGCGTGAAGGCGGGAGGCTGCGCTTCGAGAAGCAGGCGCAGCGACGGCGGGTCGAGGCGCACCAGGTGGTTGGAAGGCAGCAGCCACAGCAGCGACCCCAGCGCAGACAGCGACTCCAGGCGCAGCGGCGGCGTCGGCGACACTTCGTTCTGCGCACCGTCCCCGCGCGCAGCCGCGGTAAGTCCCCCCTTGCACGGAGGACCACTCGCGAAAGTGGATACAAAGTGAAAAGAACTCCGGACAGATTCTCTTGCCTACTGAGCGATAGAGTTCAAAGTGAATTCGTGATCATTTAACGATCCTATAGTGATTAACGATCTCATACTTTACAAGAGCTGTGTGAATATGAACGATAGACTTGACTCGTGGATTGAGAACTTTTGTATGTTTTAGCACTGGACTACGCGATATTTGTCCAAAGAGAATGTGAAGATTTAGGATCATAGTTTCCAACATTGTAATATTTAGCTTAATAAGTTATAGGCTGCCAAGCGTTATTCCATGTAAGTAATTTTTAACGTGAATTCTGAGAAGATTTTCTCTCAAGATTTGTTTTTTCTGTCATTTTGATGATGGATTTACGAAAATTATTAAATTTTGTTACGTTACTACCATTATCTTTTGCCTAATTCTTTCCAAGTTAAAGGAATGTGACAGTTTAGTACCATTCAAACAGAACCATCGATACAAAATCCTATTAGTGATACTCCAGGAATAACTGCCCAGATCTTCAAACAAATGTACGAGAAGGTAGTTTGAGATTTTGCAAGTTTAAACTAGACATTAACAGAGTGAATGACAAACTAGGCATTATAAGCCCCCGAAATGAACGTTATACTAGCCACTAGCGGTGTGACTGACTTTTTAATACACGCGAGTTGAAATATGTAAGAGAACAAGGGGCTAAGAATAAGGTTAAAGATTTAGTTTAAGGAAAAGCCGTGGAAGTCTTGGCATTAATGTGGGTAAACTACAAATCAACAGCAGCAACTACAAATCACAGCATCTCGCCGTTAGAATAATTATTCAGATCGAAGCTGAATTTGATCCAGCTAGTACATGCTAGTGACGAAAAACCGCCGAACTTTTAAATCTGCCTGTGATTCAGCCGAGACAACTGGAATGGTTCAACCATTGGAATGGTTCACAGATCACAAAGACTTAAGATGTCTAAGACCTCTGTTCATCAAAGTGTCAAAAGACACAAAGCATGGACTGCTACGTCACAACCTTGTTTAAGCGCGTGCGTGCCTCACCTCTTTGTCGACTGGCAGGCGCATGGCTGCCGCTATGGCGAGAGAGCGCGCCCGTCTGGCGCCGCCGGCCGCCTCCAGCAGCTCCTCCAGCGGCAGGCGGCCCACGGCCTCCAGCAGCGCGCGCGCCGCCTCCTCGGGCGCCCACTCCAGCGCCTCGGGCGGCACCCCGGCCATCACGAACCCTGCGCACCGAAAACAGCTGTTCCACCATTCATCCCCTGAGGCTCCCCGACCATCACGAACCCTGCGCACCAAATCGCTTTTACACCATTCATCCTCCTGCGGCTACCCGGCCATCACGAACCCTGCACACCAAACCCTTTTCCCACCATTCATCCCCCTGGGGCACCCCGGCCATTACGAACCCTGCGCACCAAAAACAGCTGTTCCAGCATTCATCCTCCTGCGGCACCCCGGCCATCACGAACACTGAGCACCGAACACCTTTCACACCATTCATACCCTGGGGCACTCCGGCCATTACGAACACTGCACCAAAAATTCTGTTCCACGAGAGAAAATTAGAAGAAAAAACTACAAATTGTATAGAAAACCACAGAACTTACATATTACATACTAACATTATCAAATTGTTTAAAATCGAGTTGTAAATGTATCAAGTTAAAATTTATGAAGTTCATACGTCAATGAAGTGCTGTATCAATTTGTGTAGCCAATTTAGTTTTTATGCATACATTAGATGAGGTAATAATACATGAAGATCGTTCAGAAGTAACACGAGTTAAGTAACCAAGTGGTTCCAACCGGTTTCCCACGGTACCGAGAACTTTCGTTTCGTAAGTTACTTAGACATGTTATTAGAATGTACCCAAATTACAGTAAGTTTTAGCAGGTGAAAATTTATAGGTTGCCGGAGACCGCCCATTTCTCTTGAGTTTCATGTCCCTGCTGGAGATAGATTTATGTGCCTCGTTTGTAATCTACACTTCGAATGTGAACGAATCAAAGTTTAAAAGAAACTTTCCGCAAAAGCATCGCTAGCTTTTATTTAACCGCTGCATAAGGGAATACGGGGAAATAGATTCTCGTCAATTCGTTCCTTTTCCCTGGGTTTGTGAACGTCCCGCACCGGAGAAAGTTTCCATTTCGCATCCTATACTTCATACTGACTAGTATACGAGTATGTTCTATAACTCTACATGCTTGGCAGGAATGTTAATCTTTCAATGTCAGGTAGGCGATAAAAGACGCACTCATTCGTGACTTACAAAATCTACGAACTTGTACCCAAGTAAGACACCGAAGGACGTTTGGTTTCGTGCAAATTCCTGATCTGAAATTGATATAACGTTTCAGGGAACTTTGGTCAAGAATATTAGGTCAAGATCAAATGAACATGCGCGTTTCTTTTTAGATTTCTGTTGAAGGTTAACTTCTGTTGGGTGGAATATGTATTAATCTTTTTCCAGGAATTACGACGCCCTTTTATAATATACTTTTAAAATTTAATCAATTGAGTACAAAGTTTCCTTTAAACAAAACTTCTGAAGCTACACTTTAATAATTATTTCACGATAGTTTTATTAGATACAAATATTGGTGAGAGGTCGACTATATGATTATCGATGCTCCTGCAAGGAAAAATTAGCATGTCATGCACGTTAAAGCGACAACTGCAAGACCAAGATTATGAAACAGTTTCTGGCAAATAAAATTATAAGTTTTAGTCCAACTGGTTCAAAGCAGACAATGTGCTGTAACTTCGTCGTTGATTTCCAGGTGGTCGGCCAAATAATATGTCATAACGTATTCACTTTTATAACTTAGGCAATCTCAATTTTTTAATTCTTAACTTTCTAAAGTTGGCATTGTTTCCTTTTTATACGTCGAGTAGGTAGTAAAAAGATCCTGTTTAATGAATGGAATTCCGAATGACTATGAAGTGCTAATAAAACACGCACACAATCTACACTATGCACGAACGGGTCCGAAACCATTGCTACGCTAGAAGCTACTCCTATCGCTAAGTCTTCTAGGGAGAAACCCCTTTCCCATGAAGTCAAGCTCGTTCTTTGAACATGCGCAGATCACTACCGATTTACTGAAATGTGTTTTGAATACTAACGCCTAATTGTTACATCTGTAAGAAAAAAATCAGTAAGCGCTCGACACCACAAAACGTCTGTTGTATGAAAATTGTGAAACTTGGGGGGAAAATTGAGACTATGAAATTATTTTCGAGTTTCACAACTTTTCGGAACTGAAAACATTCTATGTAGTGCACTTCTTTAACTTTACTGAAGTAAATATTTCTTTACTTTCGAAATTAAATCTATATACAGCAAAGAAAATGACCCGATTATTTACTGATTTACAAATAGTACAGAGGATCTGTTGATAATTACTGGACATATTTTCCCAAAAAGTGCTTCAAATTTTGCTTAAGTGTTTCTCATACACAGTAAAGTTTATTATGAAAGGTTGCTCAGGGCTTAATTTCAGTGCACTATTCCTGAAAATTGCAGGTTTAAAATCGCAAAAACCACAATTTTGATAGAGATTTCCCCTTATAATATATTCTTCAAATTTGGATTTTTAAAGGTCTTAAGTTTTGAAAATGTAGTTTCCCCACAGTTTTGAGGTTATTTTTTAAAAGTTTTAACTCTTTTCTAACCTGTCTTAAGCCTTTAATATTGAATCTATATTTCTTTAATAGTGCAGGCGAAATACATAATTTCGTTATTTGAGGAAACGTTTGCTGAAATGTCAGTGTAAACAAAGCGTAGCTAGATTGCCAACTACCAAGAAAAATATTTTAAACATGCGTTCTTCGTGAAAAGCAAAGTACAAAAATGGTGGAAGTTAGATCATTGAACATTTGAACTTCGCAAATTAGTTTTCAAATCCGCAAAACAAATTTAGAATTTAAGCCATTCGCACTTTTGCCGAAGGCAGTGTTCACGAGAAAGCTGAATATTTATTTGTATTATATTGCAAATTGTGTCAAATATTATGTAACCGTTAAAGATGAAACTAGACAAACTTGCTGTTTTGGCTTTTTTTGAAAATAGGTTATTACTTTATGTGCCATTGTGTGTGCGGTCGAGTTTACAATCTGGCTGCAATACGAGAATTGCCACGGCGAAGGAAGGTGATTTGAGAAGAGAAAGAGAAATTAGCAATCCTATAGTTGAGAGAGCTCTAAAATAATGAGGCAAAATTAGAGAGTTTATTCTTACTCGTCTGTATAATATTCAGAGTATATCTTTACTTCGTGATTTAACCTTTGTTTTGTAGAGTAATAATGTCCGACAGCCGATGTAATCAGAGATTCGCAACTCGCGTACTAAGTTTGGTAATTACGTTATCCAGTGAATATTGTTTTAGTATTGACAAATTGCAATATCCTATTTGGCAACTATTACTATAGCAAGGAAATGCGTGCTTCTGTACTACCACTGGTCAGTTACATGACCACAGTACCGAATTGCCAAATTAAGTTAGCGTATCGAGTTTTGCACAAAAAAAAAGGTTGGATTTTAGTGAAGTTGGATCTTAGTTTTTGTTAGGAGTACTTTAAAATTTTAAACGTCTTTCTTCCTAGGAATTTTTACAGCTTTAGGAGATTTCCAGTTCGACACTCCACCACGACTTTCCCTATGTCCCTCACACACTAACCCTTTTTACACTAGACAAACTTGCGGGATTTTCCGTCTGGTCAGCAGGCTCAAGGCCTTGCACGACAACACCTACATAACAGGCCGTGGACAAACAATCCTGCCCATGCGGGACTAACCCGCGACCCTTCAGCCCGAGGCGTGAAGTTGGCACACTAGCCACCTCGACCATCCTGGTCTGCTAAAACTGTAGGCCATTAAATGTTAAATCTGTTGTAGCAAAACTGAAAGGAGCCGCGTGCAACTTTACAGCACGTGGCACATTGCACACCGCGCCGCGCGCACCCCGTTACAACTTTACGAAGGTTGCCTTTTATGTTTCGGGATTTGGCAACCCTGCTGTTGCAATCTGGGAACTGACAGCTCCATCGTAAAGTTGGATGTTTTCAGGTTATACGTACTCAAAACGTTTTGACGTACGAGCGATTTGTGTTGTTTACAGTAACTTTAAATCTTGGCCCCAAAAATTGAATTAAATCGTGAACATTTTCGTGTTAGTTTTTTTTTACAACTTTCGGCGTGGATTAACTCTGCAACAGTGCATCGATGAACTTCAATTTTTGGCGATGAAGCTCCATCAAGGAACAGTGCTTATCGATGGTATGGTGAATTCCATCGTGGTCGTAATTCGTACACACACGCACGCGCGCGTCCGCCACTCACCGCCGAAGGTCTCGGCGTCGCGGGGCTCCAGCGCGGCGAGCGGCGGCGCAGACTCCGGGAAGCCGTGCGCGGCCGCGCGCAGCGCCACGAAGTCCACCATGGCCTGGCGCGCGCAGCGGCGCAGCGCCGACGGGAAGGGCCGGCGCGCCGCGCGCAGCTGCGCGTTCAGGGCGTCGAGCAGCGCGGGCGCGGCGGCGGCGCCGGCCGCGCGCAGGTGATCGCAGCGCAGGCCCAGCAGCAGCGGCGTCCAGGCCGAGGGCGCGGGGGCGGGCCGCGAGCCAAGGTGCGCGTCCAGCGCTGCCCACAGCTGACGACGAAACCACCGTCAGTTATGCCATTTACATTTTTTTTAACATTACTCTTTTCATAACCATGTTCTCTTAACCTTTTACTGGCATCGAGCGTGTGGTAATCTTATGCTCCAATCTTAGTCATCTCCTTTTATACCTTCGGCCAAAAGCTAGGCGAAGTTAGATCCCAGGGTTCTCGGACTGTCACCCATCCAGGAACCCGCGGTATCACGAGTTGGTTGACGGACAATAATTAAGTAATTCGACTACCGGCGCGGCACATGACTACTGATTTTCCATCAGGATATGAAAAATTAACCTCTGACGCTAGTTTGAAACTTAGAATTGTGCGAGTTCTGCAATCCAGAATTTTCCAAGAAATTGCATAAAAAATCGTTAATTTTTTTAGTAAAATCAATACATGCGTACACCCTCAATTTCTGTTATTCCCAGAAATTCACCTACACACACCTGAATGAGCCTTTCAATTAACCAGTGAACTTCCCAACATACCCGGAGGTTTTAATTCCCTCGTTTCCTGTTACTACATAAAGCAGTTTGAAATACTAGCAATCTTTCGAGATACATCCTTTGTTTCTCTAACCGGATATAATAAAGATCAACTGTTCCATCCTAGAGATGGTGGAGCATGGCGTTTCTAGAAATCGTTACCGAGACTCCTAATGTCATAGAAACTAGGAAAATTTTAAGATAGTACAATAATTAGTTTCTAAAGTATCTCTACGGCGAAAGGTGGGTTTAAAAACTCATGGCATGAGAACTATAAATGAAGACCCGAAGGTTCTCGAAAGAAATTATCGATTTCTCGTCTTCCCGTAACGGTGCCAACAGAGAGTGTTGTTCTTCGCGTTTGTGCTCACCACTCTGTCGGGCAGCGCGCGCAGGGCGGCAGGGGTGGCCTTCGGGACGAGGCGGGCGAGGGCGGGGCCCAGACTCCGCAGTTCGGCAGGCGACAGCTGGTCCAGCAGCGGGCCGGCCCCCGCGCCGCCCAGCGCGGCCTGCAGCAGCCGCTCCACACCTGGAACGCGCACACCCCCACACACGGAACGTTAGTTTAAGGGAATCTCACAAAAAAACTTTTCATTTATAATTTAATAAACTTTAGGTGCAACTCCATTCGCCTGCACGTGTCCACGTGAACTTAAACGGTGTAGAAAGACTCATGTTAAGTAATTCTGGTATTTAACTTTGTAATAAATGGAAAAATCATAGTTTATGCGTTCTTTTAAGGAAAACAATTGAAGCAGGAGCTAAATAAAACTTAGGTTTTCATCTGACCCAATATAGCAAAAGCGTAGTTTTCGTATCAAGAAGTCTTTAGGAGGACACCTTTGATATTGGCAGCATGGTGGGTGTGCCGTAAACTTCGGAACCTAATTGACAAGCTTTGCTTCAGCGATATCATCCGGTGAATTAATTAATTTGTCTATCCTTATCCGCAAATAACTACGCGCGGACAAGCATTTTACCAACTTTCATTTGACGCGAGCTTTGTGGCCATTGGTCGAAAAATCCCTCCAACGTTTATATCGCACTGGTCATTGATAAAAAAATGATAAAGTTGCAAACGTGCTCGTGCTGTAAAAGGAGGTAATTATATTCGCTTAGATTGTAACTAGATGGGTATTCTGTGAACACGAGTTCTTTCTATTTTAGAATGAAGACGAGCGGTAATGACCTTTTACATGCCCAGAAACGCCCGGTGAGAAATGTAACCCTTAACAAAAGGTACCTACCGTACTCTATGTAAAGTTAAACACTATTTTCTACATACTATTCCCATCCATTTTCCACAGATCTCTGAATGAGCTTGATATCTAGCACTTGTGTTTAACATGGATTGCCGTTTATTATTTACACCGACAGCTGAGAAAGTCATTGTAATAAAATAAAATTCGTCACATCAGGAAAGTAAGTGTGTGCTTTTGAAGACTCGAAGTTAACCAATACTGCATTACAAAATGTGAGGAGCAATTTTAAATTCTAAATGCGAATCTGGGAGAATATGTGTATAAAAAAAGTACGAGGGCAGAGGTTTAATTAATTCCTAAATATACAGACCACAAATCTTAGTATTAAAGTATTTGCCGACCTGGCAGTGTCTGCAATATGTTTGACTTCCAGTCCAATACTTTTGTGACTACCCCCTCCCCACTCCACCCACAATTCAATCCATCTGTAAAAGAAGTTGTGCGGATATCCTAGTAATGGAAAAAAACTAGGTCACCTAATAAAACAAATTCTGTATTTTCTTTACCCAACCTGATCTCAAAATGTTTAATTATTAGCAGGAATTCTAATCATTTTATTAGAAGGTAATGGAATGCAAACCTCATTTAATCCATAACTCTCTCGATTTTTGCAAATCAAGTGCATTTTCAGGATTATATTTCAGATTTCAACTAAGAACGGTGATGCATTTTTTAGCACTCCTGTACACGCAGGCAGCGGCCCCGGCCACGAGGGGCCTAGCGCTCACCGAGGTTGTCGCGCACGCGCGCCAGCAGCGCGAGCGCCAGCGGCGCGGTCGCGTCGCCGGGGAAGGCGCTCAGCAGGTGCAGCAGCAGCGGCTGCGGCAGCGGCTCCGGCAGCAGGCGCAGCAGCTCCCCAGCGCGCAGCCCGCGCAGCAGCCCGCGCGCCTGCAGCCACGCGCCGCCGGCCGCCGCCGAGTGGCCGCCCTCACGCGCCTCTGTCAGCAGCCGGTGCGCCTGCCAACGCCCCCCACACACACCTCAGTCCTCTAACCCCACAACCATGTTGCCAAACGTCCGTCGCCAAAATGAAGACCAACTCCAAGACGACTTGGGGCGCTCAGACATCAAATTACATTCTTGGCTATCTGGGATGAGCCGCAACTCTGTCAACTGGACTGACGTTTTGGACAAATTTCCATCCGCCATGCCGCCATCTTGCTGAGCAGTAGAACTCTGAAGAAGGCCAGAGCAAGATGGCCGAAACGACAGCGCAATTTATCGCGACGCGGATCATCCCGGATAGCCAAGAATGTATCGACTCCGGCTGTGGACGCCTACGAACGCATATTAACCTCTTATATTTGTGTAAAGTTTTCAAGTAAATCAATTGTAAACAATCGCTGCGACTCCTTTAATATTGTCTGGTAAGAATTCGCTATACATAATCTCTTTAAAGCCACATTAACTTAGAAGACAATGGTGGAAAGAGCTGGGTGATCTATTTCGCATCGTGCTCTGCAACCACGAATGAGCTTCAGCCACCAGTTTGCGTTAAAATATTTGCGGAATTTTAAATTCAGCCAGATACCAAAAATACCGCTATTGCAAGTCATTGCGATATTTCAAACAAATAAATGTATGTTTAATATTTTACACATTCATGATCTTTTTTTGTTTGTCACGGTTGAAAGTTGTCACTTTATGTCACGTATGCCACTTTCAAAATGTTTCTCAACACTTCTCGCTCTCCACGCGAAGTGGCTACCAGCGTGTGACCTTGATTTTCAAACAAACCGCTCATGGTGTGGTCACCTGGTTCGTGACGCAAACTGGTACTGCGTAGGAACGAGCAAAAAAACCTTAGTGCCTGAGTAGCTCACCCATTTCTTTCACCGATGATGACTTGTGTTAATATATCGACCAAAAACTTTAATGTGTGTGGACATTGTGTTTTGAAGTGACTTAATGTATTACAAATTCGTAGCCAACAATATTGAATATTATAGTCGCATTGTTTACGAATTTATAATTAAGATTCAACTGAAAATTTAAAAAAAAATAGTTTGAGAAACTTGCGCCTGAACGCTCACAGCCGTCTCAAGGGTACGGGGAGAAAGTGGGAGCAGGCGCATGCGTTGCCGACTATGCCAAACATGAAATATGTAGAAAAAACCAGAACCCCGGGAACCCATCGGAACGATTGGCTGATGGTGATGAAACGAGATCCTTAACATAATAAACTGAGTGGTACCATCTGTTCCATATTTTAACTTCTGCAAAATTGTTACTTACATTTAGAATACAAAACCTTAACACCGAGCCCAAGATATGTTATAAATATTCGACTTTAATATATCGACGTTTCAAATATCGTTTATATAATTACTTCGATGTTTTGAAAACCATCATTGTTGTCGCATCTTTATCCCCTAGTGTGATTTATTACAAAATATTCCGGGGTGTGTGGAACCATCGTTGAAGCGTGATTGGCAGAATGTCCAGACGAAATATGATCGACTGATCAAAACTCCATAATGTTAAGGTTTCATTAATTTTAAACATTCTGGTCGTGCACACAAGACCTGGCAGTGACCTTTTTCAGTGAGGATCGAATATTAGAGATCAATTTTAAAGAGCTATCGGATTTTCCTTGTCATTAAATTATATTTATTGCACGATATGAGTATTATAAACTAGATTCTGCTTTTACAACGTTTGAAGAATTAATCGGATCAGGCATTAGAAACGTAATGAAAAAAATTTTCTAGTGTGTAATAACAGAAGGTACATTACTAATTTGGAGTTCTATCAATTATTGCGACATTTTTAGCAAATTTAATGCCATAAATAAATTTTGAAAAGAAGAGTAGAAAATGTTAAAATATATTACACGACTCCCTTTAAAACGGATGTTTTGTTCGCATTCGTACATTATCACCCGGTCTTATCCGATATACTTCATCGTAATTAATAGTTGTCTTTGGTTTCCAAGCGTTGACGTCATCAGTCTTGCGAGGAGGTAATAAAAGTGCACTAACTCCCGACTAATCCGTATGAACCCGGAAATCCTTTTATTCCAAGATTGTATCTTTAATTTTATCTATTCTGAGTTATCATTGTAACTAATGGTTTCATTTTCATGATCATGGGAGTAATTACAATGTACAGTAGGTTTTCTGGAATCCGACGGCAAATCGGGCCTAGAGTGTGATTGATGGATTAAGGAAACGAAGGTCAATTATTGCAGTAAGAAAAAAGAACGGACGTGTAATCCTGAAGTACGCATTTAGGTACTGCATGTACAGTAACAAAAGAATGACTAATGAAGACTACTGAAAGTACAAAATGGCCATGAACTCCAATGCTCCTATACTGAAACTATAATATGTAAAAATGCACAATGCAGTATTACTTTACTACAAAACAGGAGACAATACTTTTGATCTCGGCATGAAATATTTAACAGCTTTTCCTTCTGTTTCTTGAATAAAATTAATCTCTCACAAGGAGTCGTTTGGAAAGAGGTACTTTCACTGTAGATCACTGGACTACTTGTCGGGCTGAACTGGCGCACTTATTGTAGGAAATTTTGTACTATCCGCGTCTTTAACTCACCTGGAGAAAAACTGACGTTGAGAGAAGTCTTTGGAAACTTAAGAATTATGGTTATTTTACCCATATCCAATTTTAATTTGACAGGTTTGTAACTGCGGTACTAAAGAAATTGAGTTGCCTAAATCCCTCTCTAAGTTAGTAATTCCATTTTTATCCATATTCCATAGTCGTCCAAAGCATGTTTTTACCTACATAAGGAGATCCGCAAGTTATGAAATTGTGCACAAAATCTTAACTTTGTAAGCTCTAGCATCCATTGACGCAACGTGTTCAACAGAAGAAGGTAGGAAATAACACTTCCTTGCCAAGGATAAAGAGTTACATAGTTTAATTAAAAACCTGGGGAGTTCTGACATGACATTATCTTATATTACGTCTCCATAAGTGGTATAAAAACTTGTTATGTCAAAATAAGGCTCTCTTCAAATGCTGGCAACTTTGTAGTTTTCTTTGCATGTGTCTTAGACTAGTCTTGAATGAAATCCAATCCAACCACCCATAAACTTTAATCTAAGCCAGTTGCTTTGCTGAGTATTTTATTTGAATCCTCCAATTATACAGGCAAGGTTTTACCAGATCTTAAGAGCAATTTGATCTTCGTAATGAAGTTTCTTAAATACTAAAAATATATAAAATAGACAATTTGAAAAAATACTAATGTTTGCCATCCGAACCTTGAGTTCGATTTATGAAAGTACGTAGTTGCCATCAGAATTGCTGATCAACATTTGTGTTACAAATTCGATAAAACCTAAACCATTCCCATGTGAAAACCCGCGACACTCTTAATGAAGTACTATTAAAAGTCGTGGTTGTTACTTTCCAGTGATTAATTAACATTTAAACAGACCTGTACAATACCTGTATCCGAAGAGAGTAATGGTATTTAACGACCGTAGCATTTCAACAGTTTCATTGCATACATTCATACTTCGTGTAACTTAAGTACCACGAGTACAGCAAGAGTGCCGCGGCACAGGCGAAAGCGGCGAAATTACTTGGGCGTGCAGAAAAAGTAGTTTAATAAAGAAAATTTGAACACCAAATTTACAACAAAGTAAGCAATTAAAGTGTTCGTTCAGTTAGATTTTGTTTACATTTGTACTGTAGTTCAATGCAGGTTGGAAATTCAGTATGGTAATGACAACAATGCTAAAATTATGGTTTACGTAGGTCGGTTGTTAAAAATATAATAGACACCTTCCGAAAGTAATTAAGTCTACTATATGCATCTATTTTTGTGAACTAACCAGCTTTTAAATTAACGCTCATAATGGCAGCGAAATATCCCCCCCGAAAAAAAAACAAGTAGGTCTTCACAACAAATCTGGATTTTTGGTAGTACAAATTAATTTATCCCTGAAGGACTGCGTCATTGTCTTAATGCATTCCTATAGGCAAAATTTTATATATCCCGTCTGCGGAAGTTTAGATTTGAGGATATTCTACAAACACCATGGGTATTAAGTAGCTGGCGATTAGTGCAAGTAGGCGGCGCTTCGGGACCGGACCGGACCGCCCCGCCCACTCCCTAGGCGAAGCGCGCGCGACACGTACCTCTGCGCGCGAGAAGCGCGGCGAGTCGGTGGGTGAGCGCGGCGGGCGACGGCGCGCGCAGCTGGGCTCGCTGCGCGGGAGGCAGCGCCCAGGCCAGCGCCCCGGCGGCGGCGGGGGCGCCCTCGGCCGACAGCGCCAGCAGGCAGCGCGGCGGCGCGTGCAGACCCCAGCGGCGCCTCGGCGGCCGCGCGGAGCGCCCCGCCCCCTGCGCCACCACGCACATGATGCTGGAGGGCCTTCACACTCCAATTGCCAAATTGGAGCCCACGTTTTAGATCTTAAGAACTTTTCTTGGTTATTGCTTTACTGTAAGATGCATCAATATTACCCACAACATAACCGACTGGGATTTAAGCTGGCGATCTGTGCCTCCCCCATCCTATTTTGCTGTTCTCCATTTTCCCCATGCTTTACGAAAAAACCGTGACATTTAGACCGGATTTGCCAAACGAACTGGATTCAGTTTCCCCGGTCTCAATTCCTGAGGCATTGCCGAAGCTCTTTCTACACACTCCCCTCTTCTCCCCCTTTATTTCACTCCATTCCCATCCTTCATAGGGCGGCTCACCATTCTCGCCCATATACAATCTTGCCAAAACAGAGCTTTATATATTGTGCCTAGCCTCTGTGACAAGTGGTGAGCCCGCGGCTGCCTTGGGCGGTGATTATCCGACCACCGTTTTGAGCAGGTCTGCTCTGGACCAACGTTGCTCAATTGGAAAAAATTGGGCACGGCTAGCAGAAGTGGTTCTCTGCCCAAATGGAAGAAGTCGGGGCCTGGCTGACAGAAGTAGGTAGCTGTAGTGGCACGTGGTTCACTCCAACTCCGGTGTGAGCCGATTGCGTCCTTAGTGGTGAACATTTCATTCTTTTACACTTTCTTTCCCTTCGAAAGAGCTGCATAAAATGCACTATTTTTCTCCTAGTCTGATTTGGTTAACTTTCCTTGCTTCAGAGAATTATTTAGTTTTCCGAAATGAATCCTCAGGAATTTAGAACGTAAGTAAAGCCTTCAGATGTAACAGTTTATTTAGGTTGTAGAGGTAATTCATTTTTATTTTTTTAGATCCGTCGGTAACTCTTGCTAATGGTTTATGTATAAACTTTGAATAAATGATCAAGCGTTGCGTTTCTAGTAAATTAGAGCGCCACTACTCAATATCTGTCACTACTATAGTTTCTTCTCTTTCAGATCTTTCAGCAAGGCGATCCCCTTCCTCTCACGGCGCGAGGCGACTAATAGGCGGCGGACCACACCCTTTTGCAAGTGCTGGACTAGGATATGTACACGACATAAGTGGGGAGCCCAGATGAGAATCTTAGCCCCGGGATAGCCTTACCTGGAGCGACGGCGGGCGTCCAGGCTTCACGCAGCAATTTCGAGGGCGCCATTTGCGCGAGCGCGGCCGGCGCCAGGCGCAGCGAGATGTTAAGCGGGGGCGGCGGCGTGGATTTGGGCGACGGCAGCAGCGCGCGGGCGGTCAGCGGGGGCGGCGACAGCTGCGCCAGAGCCTCCCACGCCTCGCTGCCCGCGGGCAGCGTCGCCACGTCGCCCGGCGCCGCGCCCTCCAGCAGGAAGCCGTTTCTGCGCATGCGCACCAAACGCTCATTTAGGAACTTGTCTCCACGTTTTACGAGAAAAATTTTGGGACCTTTTTACACTTTAAACCTTTAAAATGTAAAGGATTTGGACCAAACGTTGCTAGCGGTTATGCCTCCTAAATAGAAGTATGATTTGTAGGGGGGGGATCTGTTACACAGAAATAACCTGAGCCAAGTATGGTCCATAAATTTAATAATTTGAATATCTTAATATGGGCAGCGATGTTTTGATATTTTCTTTTTGCTTTAGAGGCTCTTATGTAATACGCAAACAATTTGCGATCACCTACGCCCATAATACAAAGATTTGGAATTAAATCTACGTCCATTTTGTTTATTTTAGACGTTTTGGCTACCTAAGAAGGGCTGGATTGGTAGAGAATCTTTTGACATTTTGTTGACGAAATGTCACCACCTTTTAATTCTCTTGGCCTAAACCTTGTGAAAAGTTCAAATGGGGCTATTTGCAACACCGCTATTTTTTGCTGAAAATAAATCCGAATAATTAAAAGAACACCATTAATCTATTTTGAGTAGCATTAACTAAGTAGAGATTCCAACCGGGAAATGGACAACATAACTTTCCATTTCATTCAAGTACTACAATATGACCCAGACAAAAAAACTTATTTGATATATCCCCATCCGAATAGCCATTTCACAAATTGGCGTCCACCTAGACCTTAACGCGTTCAGGAGGCGCACCGCCTGAATTTACCGGGATCAGCGCGTCAGCTTCGCCTCGCCTTCGGGCCGCGCGCACTCACCTGTAGAGCAGGTCGGGCGTCCAGTGCAGCGCGTGGGAGTGCGGTGGTGGGGGCCAGGCGGGGGCCGGGCGGCGGGGCAGCTGGCCGACGGCAGCGCCAACTGGGCCAGGCGCGCTTCGACAGCCGCGGGCGCGCGCGGCGCCACGCGCCAGACGCCTCCGCGCGCGCGAACGACCACCACCTCGCGCAGAGAGAACACGCTGAAACACACGCAGCAAACCCTCAGCCGCTATACGTGGGTTCAGGGGCACTTCCTCCCACCCAAGCCATTCCACCGCCTTTGAGGACTTTCGGGCCTCAGAGATAAACGTAGCGACGGGTGAACAATCCCATCTCGTGGAATGGGGCAGGGAAAACTATCTGTTTACCGACCTAATCATTTGGGGTTTCAATGCGCACCAACTTACGACCATTAGTTCCATAAATCGCGCACGTTTAATAGACGGGGGTGGCGGTTTTCTTCCCAACTGGAACGCGAAATCCGGCGACGACACGTAGGCTTGCGGGGGGTTTCCCTTCCAAGCATCTCCGCCAGAACGACGCCGCTCTGGTCCGGGAAACTAAGTGCGCGACGCGAGTGAAAGCAAAGCATGCAAGTACGTTTAATTAGGGAAGGGGTTTTAATTAGGGCAAAGGGAGAAGAGAAAACAGATTAAGTGTAGATCGCATGAATGATTGCGTTTGACAGGGTACTGCTCTGGCATTCGTCTGGTGTTAATTGGAGAAAAAAAGCAAATCAGTAGTCGATAGCTAGAATTATTATTTAGGTAGCTGGTGAATTTGAAACTGCAATGTAGATCACGTTGAAAGCCCGCCACTATCCGGGACTAACCTTAGAACATCCCTGTCAGACTGCAGTGTCAAGAGTTTTTGCCATGCGCTATCTCAGCTAGCGAGGGAATCGAGAACTCTAGGAAACCAGTGTTCGATTTGTCCACCATGGACTGGCTGGGGATTTCCCCCGGGTTCCAGTGGTGAAAGTCTTATGACTAGCAATCATTATGCCACTATTCCGCCCCTCCCTCCGCGTGACCCGACTTTGCAACTTCACAGTTAACACACTAACGCCCCGATACAAATTCTCTTAATCCTCCTCCCTCAAGAGGATTTCTTACTAGCGTTGAGCACAACAAACTGTAGTAGAATAACATCCAATAAAATATGGTTGGCGATGTACTGGAAATAAATCCCTATCTCTAGCTATCTCTTTAAGAGCGTCCTCGCACGCACTATGGAAATAGAGTCGCTTTGAGCTGAGAATCTACTGCGTACAGTTCTTTATGTACTACTAGAAAATGCTTGATAATTCAACACTAAGTAAAAGGAAGCTGAAAAAAAATCTAATACCAACTCTGCAATCCCGAAGAAATTACCGGGGGGGAAGTAAAGCGGCATGAGGGGGTACACTCTTACAAGTCTAATTTTCACCACCCTGTCGCCTAATTGAGGAGGCAATGCTGTCCCAAATATGTTCCGCAAAGTAAAGGTTTCCGAGATATAGCCTTTTTACAGTAACCAATTTATACATTTTGGTTCAAATAATTATCATCCCCATCCGAGAATCTCCGGTTTACTCACAATTGTTATAACCGAGTTATCGAGATGAAAAATTCTTTGAACTGTTTACAAGCCTGTTGATCAAATTTGTCGACTCTGTTGAGAGGCCAAAGAAGTATCGTGATTAGAGCAATTGGGCGTAAACCAAGAGACCCGGGTTTGACTTCTGGTCATAGTGGCACTTCCAGAATATTTTTTTTCAAATAAGAGCTTGTGAAACTTTTATATTGACTCCAATATTAGGGAATGTGAAGTGCGGAGGTTTGTAAAAACCTTCCAACGTAAAACCCTAATGAATACATGCTCACGAAGTGTAGAGGAAAAAACTTTACTAGATTAAGGCATTAAAAACTTTTTACTCCACAAGATAATTAGCATTTTGGGTTTCCGGTAAGTTCCCAAGCATTACCATCTGCCTGACGCGTGAAGTCAAGGCGTCAAAGTTTGTGCGCAAGGTCGCAGGACGTTTAAAATTAGCCACTTTAAAATTGATAATTACTTTAAAGAATTTGGTTGTCCAAGGCCAGTTCAGAGAAGTTTGGAATAATTGAGGTCTCCTGAAATGGACGAAAAATTGCGAGGTTATGTTCTGCAAGTGTTCAAATACTGTCTAGTTTACGCAGATTTCCCGCTGCTGCTTTAACACATTAATACACTTTGTAGAAAGGGTTCATGCAAGGTTATTCGTGGAGGATTGGTACAGATTACAAAATGTCTAGGAGTAATTTTTAAGGTGAGTAACGATCGAGTTCGTCGCCAGACAAGCGATTTATTAGCCCACCGTGCCATTTTCAGTACCTTTTCTATTTGTCATCAATTTTAGACAAATAGTTCAAGCCGCCTGCGCAATCAAACAAGCTTACTATTTTAAGACCAACGACATCTCGGGACTTCGTGACCAGGTGAATAATTTGTGAATTCCGACCTACAGCACGACAAGACCAACGCTACTTCTGCCTACCCCGCCAGGGCTCGCAGTGAGGGGCCTTGTCACGCAACAGGTCCTACCACGCGAAGGGGTGCCGGAGCGGGTAGACGAGGGGGAGGGGAAGGGAGAGGCAATTGCGGAGAGCGCCTGTCTGACGGAAGCGTGGGGGGGGGGTCGAGGTTTCAGGGACTCGGCCGCATCGCGTGTCGCGCGGAAGTGCTCGTGGGTGGAAACCCGTTCCCTCGACCTACCTCGCGCCGATGTGAACTAGTTTGTACGCCGTTCCGCTCTGCTGGCCATTACGGTATTCCTTACAACCACGCTAGCTTCTCGCATGAAATCTCGCATGAATGAGACTCACAGCCTATTTGCGTCTTCATTTCACATTTATTAAGACAGTTAACGGGAATCAATGTAATGGAGTGAATACCTAAAAAAAATGCATTTGAATTTTGAATGTATGGTAACCCTTTAAAAACTGTGCTATTCTTCCGTACTCTAAACTACTTTCCCTTCCAACGATTCCATTATTCTGAATGTTATTCATTCCCTCTCGTCTTAAGTGAACTTTAACTGATAACATAACAATGGGTTCGTGACCATTTCCGTAAACTACTACGTGCGACGGTTAGACGACTCACCCAGCAGTATAACACTAACAGTCTTCGCGAATCAGTACAGACTGTTTGCGAGTACAAATTCAAAAGTACACTGTGTTAAAGAAACTAGGAAGCTGTTTTTCAAGCAAATGTGCCGAAGTTAACGCTTTTATCTGATGTGATGACTTGAGAAGAGCATTCAAACCGAAATACTGAAGTCTAATGAGCGAGGATAAAAAACTTTTCGGAACATTTAAATTGAGTCTTTTGGGAGGACCCTTAAAACGCCAGGAGACTCCATGCTGGGTGTGAGGACCGACACGGCGAGTGTTGGGGCGTGAGGATAAACCCGGGCGGGCGAGCGGAGTACTTACTAGGCCTGGGCGCGCTCCTCCGGCATGGCGAGCAGGCGCGCGGCGGGCAGGGAGGCCAGCAGGCCGGAGCCCGCGCGGCGCAGCAGGGCCAGCTCTTCGTAGGCCGTGTCGTTGGGCGCGGAGTTGGCCGCCCACGTCCCCAGCAGCGCCTCCACGCGGGCGCCCAGGGAGGCGCCGGACACCTGCACCACCACACGGTTCCACTCAGCTCAGCTCCCGTGCGAACGCCTCTGTTTCGAAAGCTTCGGCATTTACGACGCGAGTCCGAAGCTTCTCATTTAATTGGCTGTCCGAGTGACGCCGCGTCCATGGCATAGGTGCTGCCGACGTCTCAGTCGCCTTTTTGCGACTTAGGGCGTGTGAAAGGTTGCCCTGAGGAAGGACGTAGAATGGCGACCGAAACGTCGGTTCCTTTGCCATGATGGCGGCGTCGCCCGGACAGCCAATTAAATACAGACTCCGGCCGCTCTCCGTTGCTACATGTTTGGGAGACTCCCCATCTTAGATGCCAACGTGTCTGCCGTCTGACCGTCCACTTTAGCATCCGTGCCTATGACGCGGCGTCTTTTGGACTGCGAAGAAATTACTGCATCTGTGTCTCCGTCGAGAATTTTAAACAATACCTTTAATTCCAAATGGAAATTTGAAATTTTTCAGAAACTAGTGAAAGCGGTTCTTTTAGGGCAGGTTTAGCTTCATTGAAGTTCCAATTTTGGCACTACTGCTAAAAGTGAAATGCTCAAGTAACTAGGTAAGTGTGAAGACAACAAAAATTGAATACACTCGTGTGACAGCTACAACTGACTAATGTATCATTAATCGATTTGTAACTTCAAATTAAAGTCAATACGGTTGTTTATGACGACTGGTAAAAGTTATTTTAATTTTGCTTATAGGATTGCACCACTCGACCCATTCGCCTTGCGTCGCCATAACATTTCCTACTCGCGAAATAAAATTCAATTTACCACTCTTATTACAAAAAAACTATTTCCTAATTCTGTACCGATGTATAGACTTCATGAAACCAAACCGGAACAAAAAGTCATCCGTACCGACTGGCGCTCGTTAAGGATTCAACAGGCCGCCTTATGTTAAACTACCTGCAGCTCAGTTCTTCTTAGAAATACAATTTTTCCTCCAGGATCGAGCGACGCGTGATGGTGTCTTTCTGTATTAATAGATCACAGTCGCTCGGGGTGAATACCAGGCTGCCACGTAGCGCGCAGATATTTAAAGCACACAATCTTATTTAATTCAAATTGTGTTTTTAATCTCAGACACGATTTTAAAATTATTTGAAAATTATTATTGTAACATTTTATCCATTTAACCTCTTATGTTCTCTATTTATAAGTTGCTTTAAATAACATTTCCTTTCCACTAACTACTAACAACTTTTAGATTACATTAAATTTAAATTATAAATAACATTACTTTTTTGTAATTTTTGTTTTTTTAGTTTTTTGTAATTGTAATTTTAATATT